CTTAAGGTGTAGTCACTGAAACGTAATCTCTGAAATATCCAGAAGTTACTTGTGTTTAATTGAGAATAATCTTTGACATTTACTACGAATCTTCGCTGTAATTCCCTAAGTTTAGTCTTAGCATTATTTAATTTTTGTGAATTTTATTTGAGTTACAAATCGGATGTAACAACACTACCTCCATAAAAACACTCGATTTAAAATATGATGACATTCCAATGATAGGTCTCAATGGTGTTATTTTTAGTTTTACGACACAAACTGTCAGAGATGTGAACAGTTTTTTCATTCTTGAATTTAAAATTGAAGAAAGGTTAGTCGATAGAGAACCAAATAAATATATTCTTGAAGTCAAGCATGATTTGGACAACACTTACTTTGCCAATAAAACTAATGCTATAAATCAAACAATAAGATTAACCACTGCGATTTTGATTGATGTAATTGATTATGAACCTCCCTGATATCTTGACTATTCCAGACAAACCCGCTTTGGGTAAACACATTCTTAAGTTAGAAGATATTTCATTAATTAGTTATCCTAACTAAAGCTGCATAAATGCCTTAATGCTAATGCTACTATGGAGCAGACAAAATAACGTCAGCCATACACCTGCTAGTAGACTAACTCATCAGATGACCAGAAGGTCTTCGTTAAGAAATTCTTAAGCTACATTGGCTCATATACGACAAACTGTAACATCAAGACGTCTTGTATCCTCCAGTTTGTTGATCGCCTTTGAAGTGAATCCCATCTCACGTTCAAATGTCAATGCTCTATTAGAGGTTGAAGTCAATGCAATATCTCATTTGAACACTAAAAACTCATTAGAAATTCTGTAAGATGAAACAGAATGAATTTTCATTTTTTTTCTTAATTGTTTGTAAGATTAATTTTTTAATTAATATTATATAATTCATGTTTTTTGATACTAATGATAATTTAGCATCATTTAAATTTTTGGTTTTTTTTTATTTAAGAAAAAATTTTTCTTTTTTTATTGACATTATTTTTAACTTTTTATAATTTTTTTTATTACAAATTCAATGTATCATTTTTGTTAAATGATTTAATAAAGTGAAATGAATAATTGGGTGTTTATAAAGATTTTTTTATTGCAAAAATTTTTTTTTAAGTTAAACGAATAAAAAAATTTGTTTTTCTTAAATGAATAAGAATGAATCTACCTGTTTTTATATAATTATCACTTCAGATCTGTCCTTTGTATTATGTTCCCATAGAGTTCTGAACAGATTAGGTCAGGTTAGACATAAATTAACCTGAATTAAATATACATCTGACCTGACCTGACCTAACCTAACCTGTCTAAAAAAAGAAAACTAAACAATTATTAATTTTGTTTAATATTTTTTTTAAAAAAATATAAAAAAATATTGATACATTTT